TCTTCTTCTTCTTCTTCTTCTTCTTCTTCTTCTTCTTCTTCTTCTTCTTCTTCTTCTTCTTCTTCTTCTTCTTCTTCTTCTTCTTCTTCTTCCCTTGTGAAGGGAAACTGCCCTTGCCTGTTTCATTGAAATGTACCTCGGAACCTAACCTCGGAACCCTAGTGAGGCTTTGAAAAAGAGGCCAATCTGCCAGTCTGCCTGCTGAGGAGAGCCTGTGATTGGCTGCCCCCCCATGACCTCACCGAGAAACTTCACCCCGCCCCTCAGTTCCCGAAGTAGTTTTGCAAGTTTTTTTTTTTAAAAATGTTCCCTTTAAGAGCCAGTCAACAAGGTGATGAATGAATGGCTAAATGCATGAATATTATTCACGTAGCACTTTTAAAAATAAGTGTGGGGGAGGAGGGTGTTTGATAGGTGAGTCAGCTGCTGTTTCCACAGGAACCCCGTGCTTGGGATTGTTCCTATCAGAAGTTTTAAATTTGGCTTCTGCACGACACTGTCGTGCGGCCGTCCACTATCCCAGTTTTCTTGAAACTGTCTTGATACGATCTTCCCTGAAAGCAGGGGTCATTTCGTAGAAAAAGAGTTAGGGGAACTCATTAGCATAACTCATTAGCATATGCCACACCCCCTGACATCAGGGGCCCGGCGGTGGACCTGCAAAGCCAGCGAGAGTGCGAGGAAGTCCGGCCAAGGCCCTCCCTGGCCCCAGGCAGGCAGGGGTGGGGAGAGGCGGGGAGGAAGCAACTTACCCTCCCTCTTCTCCTGCCTCCTCCTGGCTGAATGAGGGCTGGAAGCGGGGCGGCCAGAAGCAGGGGGGGGGGCTCCGTCATATGCCCCGCCCCCAGTACCTCACCCGGGGGAACTGCGTTCCGCCGCATTCCCCCCCGAAATGACCTCTGCCTGAAAGACGCAGGCCTGATGATCTGGTTTCTGTCGCTGATCACAGTCCCAGTTTGGGGAAGATAACTAGTTACTGACTTCACTGGTACCCAGGGTTGGCAGCTCTGGGTTGGGAGATACCTGGAGATTTGGGGGTGGAGCCTGAGGTCGGTGGCCTTTGGGGAGGGGAGGGACTTCAATGGGGTATAATGCCATAGGGTCCACCTTCCAAAGCGGCTACTTTCTCCATGTGAATTGATCTTTGTCGCCTGGAGATCAGTTGTAATAGCAGGTCTCCAGCCACCACCTGGAGGTTGGGAACCCCCAACAGGAACCCCACCTATTCCCCCCCCCCCCCCACGCAGAGGCGCAAAAAAGGTCCCCAGCCACCACCCGCAGGTTGGGAACCCCCAACAGGAACCCCCCCTATCCCCCCCCCCCCCCGCACAGGGATCCGAAACAGCTTACGACATTCTCTTCAATGTTATCTTCGCAACAACACCATGACGTGGGTTTAGGTGTGAGAGTATGTGACTGGCCCATGGTCACCCAACGTGCTTCCAGGGCAGAAGGGGGATTTGGAGCTGCATGTCCCAGATCCTAGTCCAACACAAGAAGAAGAGGAGGAGGAGGAGGAGGAGGAGACTGGATTTATACCCCATCCTTCACTACCTGAAGGAGTCTCAGAGCGACTTGCAATCCGCTTCCCTTCCGCTGCCCACAACAGACACCCTGTGAGCAATGCTCCCTCTAAGCTGTGGAGTCTCGTGAGCAAAAATTCTCCTTTGTGTTGCTGGCATTAACGCTGTGAGTGAGCGATTTGGCTGCTGCATCGATTAGTTTGCTCTGGAGCCATCCTTCCTGAGCTAAGACAAAAATGTGTGAGCTGGAGGCTAAAAAAAATGTGAGCTAGCTCACACTAACTCAGCTTAGAGAGAGCACTGCCTGTGAGGTAGGTGGGGCTGAGAGAGCTCTCTCGAGAACTGCCCTTGAGGGCACAGCTCTGAGAGCACTTGTACTGACCCAAGGTCACAGCAGCAGCTGCATGTGGAGGAGTGGGAGAACAAATCTGGTTCTCTCAGATTAGAGTCCGCGCTCTTAACCATTACACCACTCTGGCTCATTTAAAAATTGTCTTTTAGCAGTGGTTCGGGTGTGTGTTCTGTCATCTGTTCCACCACTCCATATCATAGAATGTAGCTGAACATGGCAGCACAATTCCCTAAAATCATGATTCCGTTCTCTTTTGAATTGTTATTTTAGAGTTGTTTTTAATTGCATTACATTGAGATTGATGGGAGCTGCCCTGAGCCCGTTTGTGGGGAGGGCAGGATATAAATCAAATAAATACATAATAAACAAATAAAAATAAAAAGTATAAGAGAACAAGAAGAGAAGAGGAGATTGGATTTATATCCCGCCCTTCACTACCCAAGGGAGTCTCAGAGCGGCTTACAAACTCCTTTCCCTTCCCTTCCCCACAACAGACACCATGTGAGGTAAAAGAAGAAGAAGAGATTGGATTTATACCCCGCCCTTCACTACCCAAAGGAGTCTCAGAGCGGCTCACAAACTCCTTTCCCTTCCCCTCCCCACAACAGACACCCTGTGAGGTAAAAGAAGAAGAAGAGATTGGATTTATACCCGCCCTTCACTACCCAAAGGTGTCTCAGAGCGGCTTACAAACTCCTTTCCTTCCCCCTCCCCACAACAGACACCCTGTGAGGTAAAAGAAGAAGAAGAGATTGGATTTATACCCAGCCCTTCACTACCCGAGGGAGCCTCAGAGCGGCTTACAAACTCCTTTCCCTTCCCTTCCCCACAACAGACACCCTGTGAGGTAAAAGAAGAAGAAATTGGATTTATACCCGCCCTTCACTACCCAAAGGTGTCTCAGAGCGGCTTACAAACTCCTTTCCCTCCCCCTCCCCACAACAGACACCCTGTGAGGTAAAAGAAGCAGAAGAGATTGGATTTATACCCTGCCCTTCACTACCCAAAGGAGTCTCAGAGCGGCTTACAAACTCCTTTCCCCTCCCCTCCCCAGAACAGACACCCTGTGAGGTAGGTGGGGCTGAGAGAGCTCTTGACAGAAACTGCACTTTTTCAAGAACAGCTCTGACAGAGCTATGGCTTGCCCAAGGTCATCCAGCCAGGTGCACGTGGAGGAGTGGGGAATCAAACCCGGTTCTCCCAGATTAGACTCCACGCACTTAACCACTACACCAAACTGGCTGTACAAGCAGTACAAACCTACAGTTACTCCCGCCAAAGTCCATTGATTTGTGGGTTTAGGCTCAGGGGGACCCCACCCCCAAAGCACGCGACATGCCCGGTGTGAACACGTCGCCCAGAGGTGATGTAATGGAGTCGAGCTCATTGCAGGGGGACACTCTATCATCAGAGGGAAAACTCTATGATTTTCCCTTGAATGATTGTGGCCCCGTCCCCAACGTGCCTGACACGATTACGTCACTTTTGGGTGACATGATTGCAGTGCGCGCACAAAGCGCACACACCAGGAGACTCCAGGGGAAGTACGGAGTTCCCCCGCTATTCCAAAGGTATGACTTGGCAACCCTATTCCAGTATTTATTTTGTTTATTAGATTTTTTAGTCGCCGCTCACCTGAAGGGTCTCGTGGTGACTTACAACATTAAAACCAGTAAGGTAAAAACAACATAAAAACAAATAACAAATGTTAAATATTAACATTAAATTATTGGAATACATGACTATCACCATACCGCTATTAAAACAGCCCAAACATGTGGTTACCCTCTAAAGACCAACCTAAACAATTCAGCTTTGCATGCCCTGTGGAAACTAAGCAACTCCAGCAGGGCATGGGTGTCATCCGAGAATGCATTCCACAGGGTAGGGGCCACAACTGAGAAGGCCCTATCCCTGGTGACAGCTAACTGAGCCATCCTGGGGCCAGACACCTGCAAGACTTGATCTCAATGCACTAGATTCTCATACTCACCATGGGGTCAGGGATCACCTCCCTCCGAAAGCAGCCTCCCACCTGCCCAACTCCAGTGAGCGACCTTCCTCTTGGTCTTGCCCGTTCAAGGCCTTATGTACTCTGTTCAGGCTCCACCTCCTCACCAGTGATTGGTTCCTGCATTTCCCACCATTTCCGCCCCTCAGCCCAATCAGAAGGCTTGGAGGGTGCTTTGGGGACTGTAGGCCTGTAGGAAAATTTACACAAAGGCCCCAGGCCTTTGTTGAATGAGAGGCTTCGTTGAGGCCTAGAGGTTGGTCATACTTCAACCTGAGACCCAGGATCATGACAGAACACCTTAAACATTTTAAGGGCCAAAAAGTGGGGCATAGAAAAAGATGAGCATTAGAGG